GTGCCCTGGATTTAACCTCCCTTTTCTGAATTTTCAATTTCAGCCAGGTATAAGTCAAAACACTTTTTTTAAAATAACATAGTGTTTCAAACAGAACTTATACTTATCGAGATATGCATATAACAAAATGACAAAATAGACGAGCTGTGAGTGCATTTTTTGACTCTGACAGAGATTTTTAGGTTACTGTTAGAGAAATTGATTATTTCTAAGTGGCCTCTTAGCCCTTGTCTGAACATGAAGTGTTTTCTTGTGGGTGATCACACTTTATTACTAGTACTGTCAAAGGTCTTTGTTCTAGATTTTTTAAGCACTTCTAAGTCCAAAACACATTTATACATCAGACACAGAACCCAACTCCTTCTCAGATGATTCTCATGGCATTCATTTTGATGTCCATGTACAATTGTTTTAATAAATGAAAATATAAAGAATTGATCTAATGATTTATAATAAAGGGATTGTCCAAAACTTGCTCCTTAATATCTTGCCACACTTTGCATGTTTTTCCATCAAGTCACTCAAGGAAACAATGTATACGGGGGTGCTTTAAAAGACAACAATAGGTGTGTCTGCAGTTAGCAGCTGTTGTGTATTTATATATATATATATATATATATATATATATATATATATATATATATATATATATATATATATATATATATATATATATATATATATATATATATATATATATATATTTATTCAATTCTAAAATACTTTATTGATCCCAAAGGGAAAAATTTGTCTTGCACCTGATCTGGAGAAGCCTCTGACTGAAGACACTTTGTTGTTAAAAGTCTGCTGAAGAGGATGCTCACGGTTGTGAATAATCATCTTCACTTATTTCCTATGTGAAATTATCTCTAAAGGATATAGAACAAAGCTGTCCTTCTTTATTACATTGTTTGTCAAGCTTTCTTTTAGTAATTTACTCTGATGCCTATTACCCCAGCAGAGGTTGGAGGAAGAGACCACACTCTCCACAGCAGACGTATAGAAGATATGTAGCATCTTTCTGAAAAAGCAGGACCTAACCTTCCTTATTAAGCACAATCTGCTCTGTCCTGTTCTTGTAGACGCTTAAGTTGTGTCACTAGTCAAGTTTGTTGTCCAAGTGAACACCAACGTACTTATTCTCATCCACCACCTCCAATTCTTCTTCACCTTTGATGTCAATAGGATTCAACTTGTTCCTGTTTCTTCTGATATCTACACTCCCTGTTTTTGTTCACATTAGGATCAGATTGTTTCCATACTATGCCACGATGCAGGTCACCAGGTCCCTGTACTCAGCTTGTTGTCCATCTTTGATGCACCCAATGACTGCAACGTCATCCGAGTATTTCTGCCTTACACAGAACACCTAATAATCTGGTAATTCTCAAATGTTTATAGACATAGTAAATTGTGTTAAACTTTTGATATTAAAGAAAGTAAGTTATTTTATAAATGTACTGTGATTTAATGTCAGTCGTTTTAGTGTTGGTAATTTTCTGGTTTGAACTGTTGTTGATGTTATCTTAAACCTGAATGCAATTGTAAGCCTTAACTGACCTTCTGAAGACCATTATACTGTAATTTTTATGAGCTAAACAACGATCCACAATAGTATATGTGCAGTATTTGAATTTAACTATAGTGAATCTGAACGTATTTTTTCCTACTTATTAAGGGCTGTAGTTAATATCCCTGGTAACAGGAGCGCTAAGTTTGAGCAGATTAGCTGCCTTTCCTCCCTAAATCATAAACTTTATTTTTGCTATGTTTTGTAGTCAGATTCACAAATGTTTCATGGTCGTAGAGTGATTGATAGTATATAACACTTTTTTAAAGACATTCTCACCTTATTTTTTCCCTTCCACAGCAGATCTGGTGTTTCAGGACTAAGATTGTTATGTGTTACTGATGGACAGATAGTTAACTAGCTATATAAATAAGGAGGAATGTTCCTTTGGCCGCTATAAAATCAATTTCCACAGAACATGGTTAATCATTTAATATTTATGGAAGTTCTTGTTAGGACTTAAAGTTAACAATCTTCCTTGGTCAGAGGAGGATTAAATCATATCCAAACAATCTAAGAATATGGAAAACATAAATATACAACAGAAAATATGTAAACTACCACAAATAATAATAAATACATACATAAATAACAGTTAATAACTACTTACCCTAGAATTTATAATGCAGTAAATATTACATACACACACAGGGATCATTGTATCAGCTTTTTCTTAAAGTAGGTGTTTATTCCCCTATTGAATGGGGGTGTCGGGGACTGACTACAGCACCACATGGAAGTTAAGTGTAAACTTGGCTTACCTTGCATTCTACTCGCCAGTAGCTTTCCCATAGGGGCTAAAACAGTTCATGTTTGGTGCCAAAGTCAGATGCCTGTAGGGATAAAACACCTGACCTAACTGCAACGGTGGAAAATATTACTTTGCTAGTGGATGCCTGTAGATTTTTAGAGGTACAAATTGATAAGAAAAGGAAAACACCTGTGTGCACATCTGTTACTGAAAGCCAACAGATAACAGCCTGCCACAAAACCCAGAAAAGCAGGATTATAGCTTATATATTTAGAATTTCTTTCAATTATATATGTATGCATTTCTCTATGGTGCAAAACTTACTGAAGGAACAAAAGAAAAAATGTAGATATGACAGGTTTTCCAATGACACCTCGCTCTCTGAAGTGCAGGAATCTTCTAATCTGATCACACAATCATCTCTGTTGAATCCCTGAAACATGTTTTTGGCAGAAGCCTTATTTATTATATTAGGAATGTACGGATGGAACTTTTCATGGCTTAACTCAAATTACAAGGTACGAATACCTCAAAACCCTAATTGGACATAAAATCTTATGCAAATCCATTTAAAGCAGGCAGTGAGTAGTAAGTATGTATGCTAATCCAAGGATTGGTGCATTTAACTGTCAGCCCACAAGCTTTAATGGCTCAAAAAGGTTTCATGTTTTTCCTTTTTTTTTATATCAAAGCCTGTGCTTTGGGCTCACAGCAATTTTGGATTTTTTTTTTTTTTCTCAATAGTGTGATTTTAAAAAGTGTGGGGACAAATTGGGACAAAAATCACATATAGAGAATGATAGGCAAAACTTGAAAATGGATCTAGGAAGGGGCTTTTGATAACAGGGTCAGATATGAAATGATAGATAATCGGGAAAGTGGACAATTTTCATTCAACCTGCAACACCTTTCAGCTTTTTTCTACAGATGTGATCCAAACAGGAGACTTTGAAATAAAATTCCAACTATAGTCCTATTCGCTCTGAAAGTTCTTGGCCAAATGATATACTGTAACTTGTAGTACACTGAAGAGCTCTCCAGCACTTGATGTCACATACATGTTAAAGAGGCAGTTTCCTCTGTATTCCTCAGTGATAATCGCATTACTGCTAAACAGCTGTAGTTTAGGTCATGGCTTTTGGAAAGTCTGCTTAATCTTCGATCATCTTTTTAAAATAGACAGATATGATAACAGCTATTTTTAGGAATTCCCTCTTCAGATCAAAGTGTTTTAATGTTCGAAAATTGAGCTCAGAAATTCATTATGTAGAACATTATAGGAACATAAAATCTGCAGCTTTCATTCCAAACAGGTGAAAAGATAAACCTCAGAGAACTTAGTTATATGATTATATTTTCTCTTTATGTTTTGGGAGCATACTGTTAATATCGCTGCCTTGAGGATTAGACACAAAGGCTCGATTGGAATACTTCAAATTGAAGCTCCTAGCTGCTATCCTTTCACCTTTTGTAGTACATTATCCAGGGTAGGAAATGAGGTCCAGACTGCTGTGCAGAATCAGGAGAGCCTTCCTTACAAACATCACTACATGGCTGACACACACATGAAACTTGCTCTTCAAATTCGGAGTTCTGGAAAAGAACCAAAAAAAAAAAAAAAGCTAAAAAAAAAAAAAAAAAGTAGCAAACAGATGCTCTACCTCATAAACCATATAAAGGTGTGTACATTAACATGTCTCACGGCAAACACTAAGAAATAATTTATCTTTGTTTAACTCTATGAGGTGGACTTCTCCTATATGTCCTGTCAGGCAAAGGATTGTGGGCAACCATTGAGGTCCTACCTGTGGCTAGGGATATCAGGGGTATGCTGATGAATTGATGACAGTGTCGACTCAGCTGCCAGCTCTATTATGGCGACCTCGATGCAAATCTGCCGTGGCTTAAGTGTCCTTACAGATTTGAGCTAGTAAGATTGAGTCAAAACATCCTGAAAGGAATCTTCTCAGTTGGATCTTCTGACCAGCGGTCAAGTAATCTGGACAATGGTTAGGGTTCGCTGTGTATATTTCTTTGCAGCTAAAGACCTCTAGTTTACCATTATTTTTAGTCTTTTAGACAGCCATAACTTATATAGCTTTAAGGTTTTATGGTTGAATTTTTTTCTAAGTTATATCACATTTCATTCACTTCTGTAGATATTTAGGTAATTGTGATCTTACAGTTTCCGGAAAATGCCCGTTAAAGTATTTTAGTATAAATCTCTTGAAATAAAAGTTCGGTATTTAATTAAATGGTTTCAGGTGTATACATAACTAAACAGACATGTATACGAAGGGAGGAAGGGGTCGTGAAAAGAGAGAGAGGCAGTGCTCACTGACTAGTAGTGAGAAATCTGATCCAGGTCTAAACAGAATGAAAACATGTAATGAATTTATTAAAAAAATCTTAATGTGGAAAAGAAATTGCTGTGCTCTTTTTTCACAAGCATGGATGTTTAAGACATTTCACACAGTGATAAAATGCAAATTATGTTTTGTTTCATAGCATTAATGAGAACATATGTTTTATAATCTTTATCAAGCTTTGCTAAACCATTTTTCGCAGTTTTACAAATTCATATTCAGTTTGAAGGAAGGTCAAAACTTCAACTGTTGCTGACAAATGTTAACAGAAACACTGCACTGAAAACTGGTTAAAAATAAACTGTAAGCCATAAGTGTTTGAAATTTTTTTATTCCTTTAAATATAGGTACCATTAATTATTAACATATTTTCCCAAAATCTTCACAATCATATAATTGGTTCGCCAACATTGACCTGGCATTCATTTCCTAACAATAAAAGGAAACTAATACTTGAATTGAGGCTAAATTCTAAAGTAACGTAAGCTAGGACAAGTTTAGGTATATGTGCCCATCATAGCAGCTTGCATTCATGAGGCACAAACATTTCGCTTCAAAACTTTAATTATCAGCCTTAATTTGAGATACATACATTGTGGAATAAATCTGTGTAGGGCTAAAAAAAGCAATTAAATGCATCGCATTGTGCAGCCAATTACTGTACCTCTAAAGTGAAACCCAAAATGACGTGTAGTCTTTATTAAAAGAAAACAAAAATTCTTGATATCTTACATTTTTCTATTACTCATTTTCCTGTTTCTCCACCCATAGCAAAACCAAGTTTATACATTAAAGAGCTGAAAACCCACTAGATACAATTGATTCTAAACTTTTTACACTTCAGGCGGGTCTACAGTGGCAGGAACACAAAAAAAAAAACACCATCTGCACTCTGAGCCGATGCAAATCAAAGCAAACAATCATCCTTTCAGTGTTACGAATGTCAACTTTTAGAAATCATTGTTTTTATAACAAGCAGGTCTTCAGCAAAACAACTGCTGGGCTTCAGATATGTACCAAGGTACAGTGTATATGTTTTCAAGAATAAATAACTTAAGCAGAATAGAAAGAGTACCTGTAGGAAGTAAAAAAAAAAAAAAGACAAAAAAAGAAAAACAAAAGATACTAAGGTAGAAGCCCAAACACTGAGCTTTGGAACAGTAAATATTTCATGTCAGCATTTTCCTAAAAAATAAGTAATTTATGTCAGACTGTAAAGCGAAATCTGGAGGACACTCCCAGAATCCCAGAGCCATCACTAACATTGACCGAGGAATCTGCTACTATCAGTCTGAGCTCTCTCATTAAAAGGGAACAAAGTGTCAACTCCACCAAACTTGGAATCTAATGAAACAATCCAACTTATTACAATCAGTTTAAGTTCAATTTTCTTATTAGTTAAATAATCATACTTTCCAGTCCCTATAAGCTATGAGTACAATATCAATAACATGTTTTTTTTAATGCACATATTCGTCATCACTAATGTCTGAGTCATCAGCCTCCACTTCTCCTTCGATCACTGATTTCTTCCCTCTGCAGCATGATACCACCAGTCCAATGAGGAAAGCCTAAAATGATAAGCCAGTTATACAAATTAAAACACATAATTTTAATCATGCACTTTTCTATTTCCTCTTTAGGAAACAGCAACCAATAAAAACATGATGAATGTTTTAAATGTTATATTACTTACTCCAATAAAAGCCCAGTTGCCAAAGTAGTAGATGGTGCTAAAGAACCAGAACTTGTGTAGGAAAAGATAGGTTCTAGTCACAATGCATTGATCTGAAAAAGAGAGATACAAAGTTATTAAAAAATGTATTAATAGCAGAACCAGAAAAAAAATCATACAAGGAAACCTTAACAGTTTTAAAGTGTTTCTTAATTGTTCTTCAGCTAATGTGTATACAGCGATGAATGAACAAATTTTCTTCCGATCGATGACCAATTTCTTTAGCAAATTTAAATGACCATCCACCACCCTCCATCTATAAACACATTAAAGCAGGCATGTTCACTAATTGTCTTCAGGTAAAGCAACCACCCGTTTTGAAGCATAAATAAAGATGATATTGTTTTTCAATGTCTAAATTGACCACCCCTACCAAAAGAGCCTGTATTCCCCATTTATTTGTAGTACATGGTCCAGGATTTCATAATGATATAGTCCTCAGAACAAAGATCAGAAATGGGAGATCTAAACACATCAGAAACCAAATGAAATATGACATATCCATTGCTACATGGTATACCATACATCTGAGTGAGAAAGGTGTCTGAACTCACTTAAGAACTAAAAACAGGCAGGCATTACAAAATGGAGCATTGCCTCGGGCAATTTTGTTATTCTAACCATAAAGCAGTTAAAGGAAAGTCATGTCACCATCGATGTGCATGTGGCACAACAAATAAATGAAAATAGAATGATGTAACAACTAAAATCAGAGTTTAACATGAAAAAAAAAAATGCATAAAGCAGACACCAACAAATCATGAAGATAGTGCACTAATGTTTATAGATTCTGAATCTGAGATTCCAATCAGTTTGAAACATGTTTGACCAAACTTGACTTTTATTTTGACTCAGTGATATTAATGAATGAGGACCTCAGCAGCAAAACATTGCGGCCCAAACGACCTTAATCACAAATATTTGGACCAATACAGAGAAGAAAGTGTCAGGTCCTGCTTTTGACATTTCTGAATGTAGCATTTATGTTTTTCCTTATCAAATAAAAAAAAAGATTTCTTCTTATATCACTCTGCCTTGCAAAACTTTTTCATTTTCAACTTTTTACATCAGTCACAGTTTTGTGGCAGAAAATGTGATCAGTTGCAAGACTGAACACAATTAGTGAGAAAAACCGTCTGCTATCAACCTGGGAGTAATGCATCTACCGTTGTGATCAAAAGAAAGTACACACCTCTTTTAATGTTAAGGTTTAATAGGTCAAGGGTTTAGACCAGCATTCCTTAACTCTGAACCTTGAGGTCCAGTGTCCTGCACCTTTAAGATATGTCTCTGCTACAGCAGACCTAAGTGAAACTTAAAGGGATAGTTCGGTATTTTTGACATGAATCTGTATGGCATCCCCATCACCAGTGGCATGCAATCACACTGACTTACCCCTGGCAGCGTCCTGTGAGCAGAGTTATCGTCCAGTTTTGGTCAAGCCGAAAGTAGTCCGGCAGGTTTTTAGGAACAGCGAAATAAAACTTTTCTCTTCCCAAAACATTATGTGTTCAAAAGAGTGATATTTTTGCATCCCACAAACATTGTAGTGGAAAAAGTCACACGTCGTTATCAATTGGTCCTATTTTCTCTCTGTTCGTATCAGTGCGCGCCGTCATTCAGACAGCTAGGGCCTGACAACAGCCATGTCTCCCTCCCCCCAGGTTCCTAAAAACCTGCCGGACTACTTTCGGCTTGACCAAAACTGGACGATAACTCTGCTCACAGGATGCTGCCAGGGGTAAGTCAGTGTGATTGCATGCCACTGGTGATGGGGATGCCATACAGATTCATGTCAAAAATACCGAACTATCCCTTTAACATGCCGAGGAGGTAATTCCGCCTTTTGATTGAGGTGTGAAGCAGAGATGCAACTATAAGGAGCACTGAGTGTAGAGAACTAGCCAACAAAGAAAATCTCAAAACCCGAGAAATGTAAAACGGTATATTTCTAGAAATTTAAAGGGGTATATTCTTTGTTTGGACTATTACTATGCATTTTTAGGGACAGGGATTCAAAGCTTTCAGGCACAACTTCACTTATATCCAAGACCTGCTGAGATAAAGACCGCAGCAACTTTTAAAAACATAAGAGACAGACTGACTCATGGCCTCTAATTGTGATTACAAAAACAAAAGTATCTAAAAAATGTACAGAAAAAAAATTTCCACGACTGAAGAAAATGAAACAAATATAATTTGAAAGTGATTTCATCGCTCTGTCCTGAAGGCTGCAACACTTTACAATGCTGATGGGCAGGTTGTGCCTCGTATGTGTCAGAGGACATAGCTCAACAGAGGGAATGATCATTTGTCTGTTTAATGCTTTTAATAAAGGAAGAAAAAAAGAGCATAGCCCATAAAAAAAAAAAAAAAAAAAACTCTTCAAAAAAACAAAAAACAAAACTGCGATTCAATTATTCTGTGGTGAGAAAAATGGCCAAAGCATTCATCTGAAATGCATTGACCTTACCACCCAACCATTAAACTAGATATTCCTTCATTACAGTGTAGCCGTCAAGATATTTTAATTTAAAAGTTTACTAAACAAATTCTTTATTGTCTGCTAGCTGCAAATCACTTAGTGATGGTGAAAAAATGAGGTTAGAAATATTTATGCAAATTTCATGGAGCATCTGCCGCATTATGTTTTCAATCAGCACTAGAATGGCGAACGTCTTAACATGGATGTTCATCTAATTTAGAGGTTGGTATGATTGACAGTTTACAATATATGTCTATTGTATCTCCATTTAAAACTTAAATTCACTCCTATGAAATCGGCACCCTCTCAGATTTCCAGCTGTTGTTTCCCTGGCAACCCCTCAGCAATTCCTGTCTTCACCTCTGTATATGTACTTGGGGAAAAAAAAGGTATTGTTAACATTACAGACGGTTGCTTCATCATAAGATGTGCTCAATACAAACTTTGAGAAACCATCTTTTTTAGATTAATGTTCAATTCCAAACGAATGCAAAGCCTTACTGATTTCAAAATGGTTTTTTTTTCAAAGCAAAATAGGTTGTAAATGAAGCCGTTGCCAGTTTCTTAAGGAATTATTTTTTTCTGAAGTCTTCCTGCCATTAGCGACATCTGTCATTTGCCAGAAAGAGATAGTAGGCCAAAAACTGATCAGCAGTGCCAACTGTCTAGTAGCTGCCTGCAATATCTCCTAAGAGCTATTTTTTACCCTTAATTTGTAAAATAAATAATTTAAACCTACCACCTTTTAATTGTCATAGCCCTGAAACATTGTTTTATGTAAATTTTTCCTATTCTTTTCTAACCTCTTTTTTTCCCCCCTCATACATTTTCCGGATTTTTGGGGAGATGTGTCGAATTCTAACGTGCAACCATTCAGCTAATCAATTTGTTAAATACATTTGTTGTATATTTTGTCTTGGATGTAGATTGCTATAGGGATATTAAACACTTTACATTTTTAAGTTTCAAAAATGTAAAATGATAAAAACAACGTAAGAATGAACCCTAAACTGTTTCAAATGCCTGATTCATTTGAAACTTTTCTTTGAGTATAATGTAATCTGGCCAAATCACATAAAAAAAGCAATATCAAGTCTATGCAAAGCAAAGAAATAGCATTGAAGCATCGTTTTTTTGCTATGCTTTTTTACTATACTGTTTTTTATTATGCTATTCCCTAATTTATAATAATCTAATTAATATCAAACTAAGATTTAGATAGTTATTTGCTGCCCCTGTATATTAAAACTAAATAAAACATACACAATAAGGGTAAAGATGTTGTGAAATAATATGCTACAAATTTTGAAGGGGGTGGAAGCATTTTCATGGGGTAAGTAAAGGAGAATGGAGGGTTTCAGACAAAGCAACTAGATAAAAAAGCCTATTTAATTTTAAAATAGGAATAAATATTTAATCAAGTTAAAAATAAATACGATTGACTACTAAGATTTTAATTCTTACTCTATTTCCTGATTATTCCCTCCCTGCCCAACCAAAAATAAAGAGCACACAATACCTGCTGATCACTGACTGTACCTGTAGGAAAGAAAAGTGTTTGTCCCTTAATTTCACTCTGTCAACACAGTAGCTGTCCAAAAACATGCCTGTTTAGAAATCTGGGAAGTGTGCATTCAATCTCTGATGAGAAACAAACAAAGGAGGACAAATATTGGTTGATTAACCAACAGATGAAACCGCCCTGAGGTGCCAACATTGGGCACTAAATGATTAACCACTTATCAAACTGCAGTTTGTTAAAAAAAAAAAAAAAACACCAAAAAACAATTAAACTGTGAGCATTATCACATTCTCTATTCTCTAGCAGCCCGACAGACAAAAGGGATAATTAATTTATGGGGAAGGCTACTAATGTAATCGTAAACACAAAAATAAAACAGGCTTTAAATTAAACGAAAGTAAAGGTTCTGCTTTTTTTCTCTTTCTAGAGGAGAAGTTTTTCTCGTATTAGTTTTTGAGTCTCCTTAAACTGATACAGAGATTGATGAGACGGACTCAGACAAAAAGGACATCAAGCGTTCAGAAGCTGAGTCACTCCCCTTTATGTGTGTGAATGAATATTGGCAGGCATGGAAATGTGGATGACGTCTGAAAGCGTGCAGCGTCTGTGCTATCCTGAGCAGACTGATTCTTAATATAGGGGAACAGTGAAGACTAAAAAATACCAACCAGGATATCCTTCCTTAATGAGCTGCAACACTCGGACATTAAAAAGAATGTTATCTAAACACATGCTCCTTATTAAAACCTCTCTCGACAGAATAAAGAAGCAGAACATTTCAAAAAGCTGGAGTTAGGCTGTCTGGCCTTATTAGAGAGCCATCTGGAGCATTAACACTGACCCTGCTGTTCTGCTCCTCTCACGCTGTTTCTAACAGAGCTCCTCCCACTGACTTGAACCCTATGAACACTGCAGACACACTAATATGAAGCTAGAGGACATCAAGTTCCAAATCCATAACTCCCTAAGGTTTAAAAGTGATGCCTTAAAGCCAATACCATCACAGCTTAGCCCAAAAGAACACTGAAATTCAATAAAGGTATCCA